CATGGCATGTGGTCATCAGGAGATTCTCCGTTTCCTGCTCTGGAAGCCCTTGGTGGCTACTTGGAATGGAACCTTGGGCATTGTTTAAAGGATGCTGTTTCCATGTGACGTCATAAAGCCGAGAGAAATACTGGACAAATTGATCTCCATTGTTTGGACCCAGGTAGCTTCGAAGCCAATGGCAAGAGGGTTCTTGCTCAGCCTCATTGGGACGAGGGGATAGAAGGGGAACTCGTGAGATTTGCAGATGACACCAACCTGGCAGGAATACTCCAGAATATAGTCTCAAAATCCAGCAGTATCTCCACAGACTTGAACATTGGGCCCTATCTTAACAAAATAAAATTCAGCGTAGACAAAAGTAAGGTTTTACACTGAGGCAAGAAAAACCAAATGCAAAGCTATAGTAGAGGTGGTACCTGGCTCAATAGTAGTAACTGAGAGGGATCTTGGAGTCCTAGTGAACAATTACTTCAATATGAGTGAGAATTGTCCTGCCAACACAATCCTAGGCTGCATTAACATAAGGAATAGAAGCAAGATCACATGAAGTGTTAATACCATTTTATGAAACCTTGGTAATAAGGCCACACTTGGAATACTGCATCCAATTTTGGTCACCATGATGTAAAAAAGACGTTGAGACTCTAGAAAGAGTGCAGAGAAGAGCAACAATGATGATTAGTGGACTGGAGGCTAAAACTTGAAGAACAGTTTCAGGAATTGGGTATGAGCAATGAAAAGGGCTGCACAAAGAAGAAAGGGTCAAGCTATTCTCCAAAGCACTGAAGGATGCACAAGAAAGAATGGATGGAAACTAATCAAGGAGAGAAGCAACTTAGTCCTAAGGACTAATTGTCCTGACAGAACAATTAACCAGTGGAACAACTTGCCTCCAGAAGTTGTGAATGCTCCAACACTGGAAGTTTTAAAGAAGAGATTGAACAACCATTTGTCTGAAGTGGTATAGTGTTTCCTGCCTGAGCTCGGGGATGGATTAGATGATTTCCAAGGCTCCTTCAAACTGTTATTCTGTTAAAGCTGAGAGAAATAATGGGAGAATTGGGCTCCATTGCTGGGAGCCAGATAATCTCCAAGCCAAAGGCAGGAGCACTTTTGTTTGGCCTCATTTGAAGTAAACCATCTTTAAATGTTCACAGAAATTTTAAAGATCTCATTCCATGCTTTTTTTTTTTTTTTGCTTGCTTTTAAATTCTGGCGTATTCCAAAGAGAAGGACGCTTGCAATGTTCTGTGTGAAAAATATCTTGATTTCCTTCAAATTGGCTTTTAAAGATTTGCTGTTTAATTGATTGGTTTATAATGATGGAGAGGGGAATTACCTCCCTGTATTTGCTCAAATATCTCCCTGTATTTGCTCAAATATATTTGCTCTGGATTATCTTCTCAAGATTGAATTTGGCTGGCTTGTAAATTCTGAGAAGAACTGATGAACTATGTCCAAGAGAAGCGCTGATCTCCATCGTTTAAGTTATTCTGTAGCAATACACCAGATTTTAAAAGTGTCCTCGAATTTGTGACAAACGTTAACAACAGAACAGAATGACAGGTGGGAGGGACCTTGGAGATCTAGTCCAACCCTGTGCTCAACCATTTCATCACTTGTTATATTTAAGCACCTAACCAAGGCTCTCTGCTTTCATTAAAATTGCAAATAAATCATGCCTGTTTTTTGGGAGGGGTGTGTGGAGAGAGGCAGATTACATGAGTCATGAACCCAGACAAATAAAAGTGTAAAAGGAATTTTTGATGTGTACCGTTGGGACTGCCTTTATGGTAAGCTAAAGGTAAAGGTTCCCCTCGCAAATGTGTGCTACTCGTTTCCGGCTCTAGGGGGCGGTGCTCATCTCCATTACAAAGCCGAAGAGCCAGTGCTGTCCAAAGACGTCTCCATGGTCATGTGGCTGGCAGGACTAAACGCTGAAGGCACACAGAAAGCTGTTCCCACCAAAGGGGTCTCTATTTTTCTACTTGCATTTTTTTAAATGTGCTTTCGAACTGCTAGGTTGGCAGAAGCTGGGACAAGGAACGGGAGCTCACTCCGTGATACGGCACTAGGGATTCAAACCGCCAAACTGCCGACCTTTCTGATCGGCATGCTCAGCGTCTTAGCCACTCAGCCACCACATTATGGTACATGACCACCAAGTCAAGATGATTTTGAAAGAGTAGATAACGGGTCAGCCTCCAATGGCCATCAGCCTTCATGGTTCTGGGCTATCTCCAGGATCATAAGAAACATCTTTTAAATAACAGATAACACTGGAAGAGAAAGATTAGCTCACGAGGTGTACAAACTTTCACCCTGCATCTGATCAGTGAGCCTGTTGTACAAGTAGTCCTTGACTTATAACAGTTCATTTAGCGGCCGAAGTTACAACAGCACTGAGAAAGGGGACTTATGACCGTTTCTTGGCACGTGTGAGACTTTCTCCCTCAATGCAAATAAACAAACTCCACTTATATTGCATACGCTTAAATTTCTCAGGGCTTGCGTCATCTTGTGCAGGCGTTGTGCCTTCACACATTGCCTTTCAGTCTTGCCAAAATCATGTGGTGACACCAACTTTTTCTTCTGAGCCATGGTGGCGCAGTGGTTAGAGTGCAGTACTGCAGACTACTTCTGCCGACTGCCGGCTGCCTGCAGTTTGGCCGTTCAAATCTCACCAGGCTCAAGGTTGATTCAGCCTTCCATCATTCTGAGGTTGGTAAAATGAGGACCCAGGTTGTTGGGGGCCATAAAACTGGCTCTGTAAACCACTTAGCGAAGGCTGGAAAACACTGTGAAGTGATATATAAGTCGAAGTGCTATTGCCCTTCCTTCCTTCCTTCCTTCCTTCCTTCCTTCCTTCCTTCCTTCCTTCC